ACAGAAATTAGAGGATGATGAATAAGAGGAAGAACAAAGATCATTATCAAAACATAATTATGCGAATATGATAGAAAACTAAAGATTTATTTTTTTTAGTTATGGAGAGAGTTTAGAAACCCTAGTAATAGTAGTAAACGATATTTTTTCTAGGGTTTCAATATAGGAGGTGTTCTTTTTAGCGGGTTGTTTGACATAAGTCCATTTCCTTTAAACCCTAAATTTGAAACATTATGTGGCCGATTGGTTGAGTACTTTAAAAGCTTTAAAAATATTTAAAGCCTTTACAACAATTATTTTGCCAATCAAACTTTTTTGCTTTTTTTTTTTAAAGCATTGAAAGTCACTTTTATTTGTTCCTTCTTTGTTATCTCATTTTTTAGGAAAATTTTTGAGAAATACCCCTTTTGGTGTACCCCTTTTTAAAAATACCCTTCTTTTTATCCATTTTCAAAAATACCCCTTTTCAAATATGAAAAATTGTAAACTTTTATATGTTTGATAAGGTATATCAAGATCATCATTACTACTGAGAGATTAAGAGGTCGATTGGTAACGACTGTTACTTATGGCTGTAGAGACTTTAACTTTAAAATTTTAGCTGCAGAGAATTTGCCTGTAGATGCTTTAGCTGTAGAAAATTTTACTGTTAAAATATGATTGGTAATGAACAACTTTTAAAGTTATACATGTTATTTTTATTTTTATTATTATTTTATATTTCTAATAAATATAAATTATATCATAAATGAATTTATAAAATAAAAGTATTATTGAAATGGATCTTAAGAGAGCAAGAAAAAAATGAGAGTAATTAATTTATAAAAATAAAATATATAAAATATATTTATAAACTTTTGAATAGGTTTCAAATGTAATGGGGATAAGAAAAATAAATCTTTTTAATTGATTAAATTTAAAGCCAGATTTTTGACGCTTTGAGAAAAATGAGAAAACAAAGAAGGAAAAAAAAGAAGTGACTTTTAATGCTTTAAAAAAAATAAAAGCAAAAATGTTGATTGGCAAATTAATTATTGTTAAGGCTTTAAAAAAATTTTAAAGCCTTAATAGTCATCACCAATTGCCCTCTAAATCCAAATATTTTGAAGGTTTTAAGAGGTTATAAACGGCTTTTATAAGGTTTTTATAAGGTTTTTAAAAGGTTTACTCAGTTTTTATAAGGTTTTAAAATGATTTTTAAAAGATTTTTAAAAGGTATTTATACGGTATTTATAATATATATATATTTACACACATATAAAGATAACTTGTGTCTATAAATATAAGGTTACACATATGTTTTTGATAAATTTCAAATTTTATAGTGAATTTTTGATAAAATTAGAAAGAGGGGTATTTAAAAAAAAATAGTATTGGAAAAGGGGTATTTTTGAAATTCCCTTTTTTTTTAAAAGCGTCAATTTTCACATCTCCATTACATTTAAAACATTTCTAGAAGTTTATATATATTTTATTTTATAAATTCATTATTCTCATTTTTTTCTTATTCTTTTAAGATCCATTTCAATAATAATCATTTTTTTCTCATCATCATTATTAATGATGATGGAAAAGAGTTATGAAATTTATGTTTATATGTTTATATAGGGAGTAACATTCAAAACAATGCATTAATTAATGTTTAATAAATTTTTGACTGCTTATATAAAAATAACATTTGAAAGGTGTCCGTGATGAGATTGCTAACGCTATGTGAGTTTAGTTGTCGATAGTTTTTATATTTTTCCATTATTTTAAATCATAATAACTAAATAAACTGATGTCTACAACTTCAGTTATTTCTTATCCTTGTAGCATGATTTATTTAATTTTCAAAAAAAATTATAAACAAAAATTAGTCATTAAATTGCTATATAAATTCATTTCTAACATAATTATATTTTTATTAATAGAAAATAATAATAATAAAAATAACAGCCACAACTTTAAAAGTGGTGCATTACCAATCAGACTTTAAGAGTAAAAGTTTATACAGCCAAAGCATTTACAGCCAAATTCTCTGCAGCTAAAATTTTAAAGTCAAAGTATTTACAGCTAAAAGTAACAGTCGTTACCAATCGGAACCATATGTCTGAAAGAACCCATCCCGTTTTTTTTTAACATGTAGACCGGATTAACCCAACTAATTGTAAACCAGCTAAACCAGCCCTAAACCAATTCAAATCAATTAAACCACACATAATATAACCAATAGAAGACTTAACCACAATCCATGAAAATAACTCCATTAAACCAACAAGTTCAACAAACCAATATTTCAGAAACATAAGCATCCTAACATGTTTCTAAATTCCATTCTAACACCCTAACAAATCCTACAATAATCTAACACATCAATGAGTGCCTAGATCATCCTCTTCTCCTCGCCATGATTCCACGGATCACACTTTCCTTTTACCTGCATCAAAGAAAGAGATGCATAAGTATTTCATAAATACTTAGTGAGGCAATCATTCCACCACTGTCTATACACACAAGCAGAGATGAACACATTCAAGTATTAACTCAAACAACCACCAATATAACACAAAACAACACAAAATGACCCGTTCTGACGAGTAGGGTAGATCGACACCATCCGCTGGTGTCGCTCGACACTCGCGACCATCCTCGCGAGAAAGAACGTTGGTGTCGATCGACACCCACCACTGGTGTCGAGCGACACTGCAACCCTAACATCGCTCCAGCCGCTTCTCATCAACGAATCCCACGCCTCTTGCACGCCAAGACCGATTAGTCACCTCCTCAGGCTCGTACCAAGACCCCCAAACACATAAAACAAGCATACAAAAAAATGAATCAATCATCAATCAAAGAAAACACCCAAACATGCATCAAAACTGCTTAGATCAGCCTAGTCATGCACTCACCTTTCAAAAGGACTGAAACATGGACGAACAGAATATAACAACAGCAACAAAAGCCCCTCCTAACACCACAGCTACGAGATCTCTCTTCTCAAGGATAGAATCACCAAGAACAAACCTCAAAACACCCTCAAACCTCACCAAAACCTCACTAGAGAACTTGGAAACTTTAGAGAAGAATAAAAACGGTTGTTCTAACCCTAGGTCAACCTTTCCTCTCTTTTAAATGCGACTTAGGTTAAACCAAACCATAACCCACACGATTCGCAATTAAAATTGACCCGATCAAACAGAAAACATGATGGTGTCGAGCGACACCCTTCAGTGATGTCGATCGACACCGCCTAAACTGGAACACAACCGTTACAATTCTCCCCCACTAACTAGGATTCATCTTCGAATCCTTCAACACATCCGCCAGTACAAAACTGACCTCCCGATGCCCATATCTGATCAATATACTCACGTTCCAGACCCTATTTGCTCATACACACGCACCTCCCCCGTCCATATGTCGCAACTCATGAATCATACCGGCTCGTCCTCAGGCCTCAGCCTTAGACTACGGTATCCAGGAAGTTTCACCACTCCCCCTGCTCTCGAACCCTACACGATACCGCTTTTATCGGTTCGGTTCTTGTACGGTTCTTCGGTACCGGATATTATGCCCAGGCCTAGGTGTGATTCGAAAGCTTTTAACAATTTTTGGTTCCCTATACAATCGAAATTTAAAACTTAGAATTAGGGTGCGACAATTTAGTTTCTGTATCTATTTAGCGATATGCTCTCATTATTTTATTATAAGTAGTCAAATTTTTTTTAATAGTTTAACATTTAATTATTTAAATACAATTTTCATAATTTTTAAAAGGATTCTATTCTACCAAAAAGAAAAAAAATTCAAAAGGATTTATGACTTCGCTATATTTTCTAGTGTTTGGCAAAAGAAACATAGAATCATATTTTTTCGAAAAAACGCGGAATCATGTTTTTGACGAGAAAACGCGAAATCATGTTTTGGCAGAAAAAAAGATTATCACTTGATCACTTTTTTGCGGGACATGCGGAACCACATGTTTTTTTACAAGAAACATGACATCAAATTTTATTTTACTAGAAATCGCGAAATCACATTTTTGACTAGACAACAAAAATCACAAAATCTCATTTCTAACGGAAAAACAAATTATCACTTTTTTGAATGAAAAACATGAATTTACTTTTTTGGCAGAAAAACAAAAATCACATTTTTGAGATGGAAAATTTTGTGAAATCGCGTTTGATGGGAAAAGAAGTCTAGTTCTTTTTTGTGTTCAGTTATGCATCACTGACAGAAATGTTCGAAGCCGACTTATAATTCAGGATATGGTAGACCAGAGATACGAATAATCTCCAAGGGTGTGGTTCGCCACATGTTCCATGGCGTAAACAAGTATAAAAATTAATTTATTTTTCAAACACTTAAAAACAATAGCAGATACATTTATTTAATACGTTTCTTTACATTCAATTCAAAAAAAAAAATTACAATGGAAAAGAAATTATTACATGTCTAACACGTGTCATAATATATCAAAATTTCTAAGACAAAAACTTTTTCTTTGGTCATTAAACTTACTCTTTGGACTTTAGTTGACTATGTTTGGCTACTCATATCAAAAGTCTTACAATTATAACCAAAATCAAACTTTGCCATCACTTTTAAATTTAATTGTGACAGACTAATAGAGCAATCACAATGTGGTTTTGTTTTTTTTTTTTATTTACTTTCCCATCATTTTATATTTGACTACATTATAATATCTATTTACAAATATATCTTGACCAAATATTTAACAGTCATAATCACATCCTATGCACGGTTACGCATTAAATACATTTTTTACTTCTAAATTGTTTTTATCTGACCAAAAAGTAGCTTTTTTACATTTTCTATTTTTAGTTAATCATATTTAAAGTCTATACTCTTTTAACCACTTATATGTTATCTTCTTTCTCTTAGAGCTCTGATAAATTCTTTTCATGGGTTTGTCTACTTTTCCAGTCGTTTTCAATATCTATTTTCCAACCTTTTGGTCTTAATACCTCTTTTCATAAGTATATTCAATCTTTTCGGTCTTATTTTCTCAAAATGGGTATAATCATCGTTTGAATTCGGTGATGTTGAGATGATTTTTTCACAGAATACCACCTGTGAAGATTTCATCTTAAATGAAACCCACCGAAGTCTTTTTATTGATGATGCATCTTATATACCATTTTACAATGAACATTTAGGTCAATCTTCTCTTAACAGATTGTATCTTCCATCAGATCTGACTGATATTTCTAATCATCATCAACTAAACCATATACCATCGACCCCAAAACAAACTCAAGATTCCTTCAATCAAAATTTACTTATCACCCAAAATCATCTGGTTTTCAACTCTCCCTCGTATGGAATTCCATCAGATTATTCATTCGTGAATATCGATACTTACGAGGAATCTATGAATAACGTAACCAACAAAAATAGTATCTCTACAAATCCTGAAGGTATATTTGAAAATATATGTAATTTGCAGGGACGTACTATATGGGATGAAAATGTACACAATGTTGAGTTTACTAGTGTTTGTGTGTCAGCTCTTGATCAAATGATAGGTGAACCTCAATCATTTGATATGCCAGTGCCAGAGGATATCAAAAACACAACCAGTGAAATCATGAATCAGGGTAAAGGTCAAAAGATGGTAAGAACTCATCAAAAAAAGAATAAAAAAATAGTGCAGACAAGCAATCATTCGAAGAAAAGTAACATCATCAAAGGAAAATGGGGAAAATCTGAAGATATGTTAGTCTTCATTATTTTTTCTTTCTCAAAAAATATAAAAACTAAAATTAATATTCAATTGCATAACTGAAATTCTCCTAACTATTTTGTTGTATACTTTTGTTTTATTTTATTTCCTGATGATGTTATAATAATTTCTAATGTATAGGAAATTGAACCAAATGGTGGAGCAATATGACGGGATCATCAAATGGGCATCAATTGCCAAAAATCTCAAAGGACGAACAGGAAAACAATGCAGAGAGAGGTGGCACAACCATCTTCGTCCTGGCATTAAGGTGATATTTTATTTCTATCTTCCAATCTTATTTATTTCAAATATTAATATATGTGATATATATATATATATATATATATACATGTATAAATCATATTTTCATCATGATTATTTTTTTTATTCATATACATGTCTAAGTTTTTCAAAGCAACTATTTACTTATAACGAACATGTTTTCTATATATATTTTAGTTCATATAGTTTAGTTAGTGGTGAGACTAGCAATTTTATCACAACACTTTCAAAAGTTCGTAACTCAATGATTTGGATATGTGATACTTACAAATTAATATGAAACTGAATGTAAAATAAAATTTCAATAAAAAATTCTTAAAAATGTGCATTTGTTTACCTTTGATTTACTTCCATCAATAAAAAGTCATATACAAATGCATATGGTGATATGATCATGATTTATATATTTTTAAATACACACATTTATATATAAATGATATGTAATTTCAGAAAACAGCTTGGACTAAAGAAGAAGATCAAATATTGGTTGCAGTACACAAGGTAGTTGGTACCAAATGGTACAGTATCTCACAACACCTCCCAGGAAGGACGGAAAACAATATTAAGAACCGCTGGAACGCTACAAAGCGCCGGGTGCAAAATCAAAGTGGTGAAAACTCCAACCTTGCTGATAATAATGTCCTCGAAAATTACATAAGGTATATCACAATCAATAACGATAATCTTTCCAAGACCAGTGAGGATGTGAATTTGAACATGGACGTTGGCACACAGACCAATGAACCATTAGTCAATGCATCTACAACATCATATTATGTTCCAATGCCAGAAAATTTTACATGGGAGAATTATGCTAGAGAGTTTTGAAAATCAATAAATTACATTCAGGAGGATCTCATGTAATGGTTGGACTTATATCCGATAAAGGAAATTTCTTTGATCAAGATTATTTCTCAATATCATATGAGTTAATATATCTATGTATTTGACTATTTATCTATAAATTTTCTTTTCCTTAAGCAACTTTTAATTTATACCATTTCATTATATTATCTATCTATCTTTTTACAAGAAATATATGTTATGATATGTGGTGTTCTCTTTTGACCAAGTGACCATTCTTCATATGGTTATTTCGTCAAGAATTTCCTATCTTAAATTATTTATGTACTTTATATATGTATTGAATGAGAATTGCATGCCTGATTTTGTGTAAGAGAAATCATGGTTTTTGGATTACTAAATTCTCTAAATATAAGTTCAGCTAATTAGCACCAAATTAAATTTGTAAAATCCAACTTAAATTTTTCTAAAATCCATAAGTTTAACACACAAAAAAATAAACTTTTGAGTATACTTCTTGTAAAATTGTGAATTGACAGAAACAAAAAAAAATAGTTATTTGAATTCAAATGTTGTTAGGATGAAAAAATATAATATAGCATCAAATGTATAATATTGTAACATGGATTAAAATCGTAAATTGACATCAAAATTTTCTTATAATATTGAAACAAAATATTTTCGGATTACCATAGGAAGCACCTCTAACTGAAACTGGTTATGTTCGATTGTCCGATGATGCCACTTGAATCTAATTTCGACTTGTGATCCTTACACACGTTGAGACCAAAGCTAACAAATAAATTAAAACCAGCAAAATCATGGTGATCAGTCAAACACAGTTCCACGAGTGTGGATGTCTGATTCACACACTTAATATTTGTATTGTTATTCCACGAATGGGCTAAGGGATGTATGGGTTTCGGCACAAAATATCTTTGTTTAAAAAAAGAAAATAAAATTCAAAAGCACAATTTTGAAAAATATATGTAGAAACGTACTGAGAAAAAGTATAATTGTATTGATCTTATACAATGATCTCAATCCCTTTATTTTTGATCCATGGGACATTGTATTATACAAAAATTATTACATTTAATGAATGTAATAATCCCACTTTAAGTAATTGTTTTGATTTGATCATCAATGTTGTAACGCTCTTACTTGAAACGCGTTTGGTCTTTCTTTGGACCTTCTTAAGTTGAACGCTTTGATTTTCAGTTGTTTTTGATTCTCTAAATATTTCAGATGTGGGACGTTGAACCTTTTTTTTATTGAGTAATATATGTTTGTTTTAAAAAATTCGAACCTCAATATATGCAGAACTAATTTTATATTTTCATTAATTTTTTATTATATGATAATTTAATAGAATCCAACTAGTAGTATTTTTGAAGTAAAGTTTAGGAATAAATTCTCATTTTTCAAAAAACAAAAATTGTCATTGTTGGCTATATGCCAATATGAATGAATTAATATAACTACTGCAACCTCAATCATATAGATAGTGAATTAGTTAAATCTGGTTATTGGATCAAAACTGAGAAACTAAACATCAAATACACACAGAAATAAGAATACAAACAGTTTAGTATGAAATATTTTTATTACTTACGAGTTCAACTTGTTGTGTTGCTTTTAATAAGGTGAAAATGTTATCCAAATCACATATATTTTTACTTGTAAAATAAATAGTATTTCATACATTATTTTATTATTATTATAAAGGTTAAAAACAAAAGATTTTGTCTTCAATATCTTCTTATCTTCTTATAATTAAAAGAAAAGTACAAATTAGACATTGTTAAAAATTGGACAAATTTAACCTCCAAATCATGAAATTGATTTCTAATTTTGTTTATAGGAGACAGAATTTCAAAATTGGAAAAGGTAATTTGGGGAAAGAATAATTGACTACTCAAAAGTAGTCAGGATCCGCGTCCCTCTTTAATGCCCGATCCAATATAAAAATCGGATCTTCAAATATTCGTTGGATGTTCTAAATATAATCGATCCAATATGCCTAAACCCATTAAACAATTAGATTTGTACAGCAAAATTGCAGCCCATCCATTAAACCCCATTAAAACACTAACTGAAAATTGGAATGTTTCCATACAAAATTGCAGCCCATCATTATTAAACCCATGAAGCAAGATATTTATTTTTTCTCTCATGATAAGCCTATTACAAGATACGTTCTTTAGTTTAGTTATTTTCAGAATAAAAAATATGCCAAACTTGTTCTTCCGATCTGTTCTCTCTGCTCCCGTCATGTGGAGGTATCATTAGGGTGTGTCAAAGACAGGTGTGTGAGGTTGGAGCTCGAGCGTTTTAACTTCTTGTTTTAAACGTGTGGCTATTAAGGGAGTTGTAGCGATGCCGGTGTCGTTACTCTAAAATCCGCCGGTTTAGCTAGCCGGTTTTAGCTGCTTAGGAGCTTTCTCCTTTTACGTTCTCCATCGATCCTGCTTTGGTATTGCTCTCCAAGATCTTGCTGCTCCGTTTGGTGCACAAAGCTCTTGGGTGTTGGTTAGTCTTGGTTTTGATTTGTCCCCTTTGTGTGTTGCCTCTTTGTGGAGAAGAATTTTTTTTGGCTTGTGCTTTGGTTTGTGGATTAGCTAACTTGGCTGGTGGAGGAGCTAGTAAGACCTAAGGATTGTTTAGCGTTTGGTCGTATGGTTAGATTTTCTCTGTGCTAGCCGACCTCGGGGAAAGAGCTTGGTAGAGTGAGCTAGCGCTTTCATTTTCCTTTGGTTTGTGTGGTTCCGCTCTGAGAACGCTCATGGATTGTTTAAAATGCGTCTCTCACTTGATGAAGAGGGAGTCAGTGATTGAGAGCTCTTTTTTCTAAGCCGTTGACGGCGCAATATTCTCGGACTACCGGTGAAAGGCTTCCATTCGCTATGGTTTTCTTTGAAGCGATCATTGCCGTTTGACAACATGTTTTTCTTCTCCTTGAGGTCTCAACTAGGTGAATCTTTAAAATCGTTTATCACTTCAATGACTCCAAAAGTGTAACTGCTTCTGTTGATGTCGATGGACTGATTGTGTTTATCACTTCATCTATTCCGAAAGCGTCACTGCTTTTGTCGATCGATGGACTGATTATCTCTTTGCTTTCATGTATTTTATCCTTTTTTGCCATGGAACCAAGCTGTAGGTTTTACTTCATTGTAATTCCTAACTTTTTTCATTATTAATGAAATATTTACATTCTTAGAAAAACAAAATATGCCAAACATTAAAAACATTAACCGTGGTTTGGCATGTTTATTTACCGATTCTCAAATTATTCCAATCATATTAAAGTCTAACAATCAGTATATTTAAAATTAGCATAATCTAATATTTTGTAAAATTATATATTTTTCCTAGCATGGTTTATTAATGGATCATGATTTGATAAGTTTTAGCTAGATTTAATTCAGTCTAGTTATATATTATATAAGATGCATTTATACATTAGTGACAATCAAATTTTGGAACTCGGTATTTATTATTGTGGCTGTATCAGTTACAGCTGAATACAAACAATGGAATCAAATGAACATCACGCTAATTGAAAACTTAAACTTAAGGAATTCATTGTTGGTCACTGACATAGACCATGACATCCTTTATTAAAATGATTTCTGAAACTGTAAAAAGCGAGCTCCCACTAATGAAGTTGTAAGCATTGCTACTCCTTCGCAGAGTGAGTCACCCCCTCCCCTTTCCTCCAGGAGTATCACCTTTTTTTTTACCTTCAGTGCCTCTGCCATCAATTATGCTTTGGTAAGTTTTTCTTGCTTAATATTCACCACGTCAATCTTATCCAAACAAAGCTTCTTATTGGTGGAGGACTGTGCTAGGGGGGATGCAGAATCATCAGTCGACCTCTTAGAAGAAGGAGTAGTAGTAGTACTACAATCCTGACTACTGGTGAGCAAAAGACTAACCTGTAATTTTTTGAAATTATGATATTTAGTTATGTGTTTTTTTTAATAATACTCTATGGTAAAATAAAGAGAAAGTAAGAAGACATAAATTACCTGATCACCCGTACTATTATCGGGTGGGATATCTCCACCATGAGAATCATCATCATTCTGCTCATCTTCATTATTATGACTGGACAACACCCTCACAACTTTATAGATATCCAAGTCATTCCAGAGGTTCTCATGTTCGACAGACACCAAAAACTGGTAAGTCTTCCCAGATAGATTTTTATAGCATCAAGATAGATTTATCTGCTAGCATTACTCTCATGTAAGATAACAAAGTCTGGTAAAAAATGTTTAAAACTCTTGGTTACACGCTATTGAAAAATACAAACCTGTCCAAAGTCTCCTTCAATAAGACTGTTTGCGGAGCAGCCAACAATCTCAGTTGCCATGCTGTCAAATAACATCAGTTTCATCTCATCTGTAGAATCCATTGCATAAACATGCAGTTTAAACCTGTCAAGATAAAGGATGTCGTTAGTTAGTTGTGTAACCAACTGTTGTTAATTATGCATCTCTTTTAGTAACAGGTACATTGCTTGCACATTTGGTGCTAGTGAATGGCAACCGTCACACCAAAATTGGGGTCTCATAGTAGAACTTGGTCCACCATTGGTCAAAGAGTTAACCTTAACGACCTTTTTGTTACATTTCTTACAGGAAATGTAATACCAAGACCAGTCACTGTCAATTGCATAAACGGTACAAATAACCTTCATTCTCCCAATCTGCATAATTAAAATTGTTTATTTTAGAAATGTAAAAGTTAATCCTTACTATGCTAATTAATAGATACAATGATACCTCAAACATAGCGTAGATTTCTCTGATAGAGTGATAGTTTTGGTAGGAAACTGTTGATGAAAATCACCCCCAAGTGCTAGTTCATTGTCACGTCTAGGTCTGTTTTCAAGCATTACCAAAGCTAGTCCATCGTTTGGTAGTCTATGAGTTGCAAAGACTAAACAACAAAGGAGAAAGAAAGTGTTAGTAATGGGTATATGCATAGATATATAAAGCTTTGTAAAAAATAAAGAGATTTGCATACTTATTCTTAAATTCAACAATCTGCACAAAATCTGGATTAATCTCAACCAAGGATGTGTTGAAAGCGTTGGAGACGCTTCTAACATCTACAATTCAAAAAGAGCATGTTAAGTTAAGTTTATGGTAAAAATAAGTTTAAGAAAGTTACATATTATAAGCATTTACCTTTTTAGATTTTGATTTTTGCAAATCTAAGCAGACAAATAACCATATCAAGGTCATCTTGTTCACATGCTAAAAACACTTTTTCAGCAAAAGAACCCCATATAGTACATGCTATTCGTGAGTCACTACATTGAAAACATAAAAGGTTAGATACAACAAAACGGTAGTAAGATAGAAACTTGAAATTGTATAAATATTTACTTGTCATCTCGGAGTTCAAAGCCCTCTTTTTTGGTCGGGCTGTTATTAACATCAATGGTCTCCATCTCCTCAACATTAACAACTTGTCCCACAATATCTGTAGTGAGAGGTCTGGTTTCTTTAAAAAATACATTGCAGGTTACTTGAAAACTTACTTTAGCAGGATAAGAAAATACTTACCAACTATGAAATTAGGATTCATATTCCCCGAAGAGATTGAATCAAACTGAGTGATACTTAAAAAAGGATCATGAGACAGAGATTCCATCCTGGTAACAACGGTTTGAGTCATGAAACTCATTTTGTATCGGTGATTGGTGGGTTTGAACTGCCCACTGGCGATACTCAAACTAAAATTCTCAAGGGTCCTCCATTCACCGGTTTTGATTTTGTTTTCAAAACGGTTTATGAACTCCTTCTTTACAGATGCATGAATTTTTGTTCACTGTAACACAATGACTCGTCGATTAAAACTTACTTGTGTATCAAATAGGACCATGTAAAAAGTTTCACCAAATTTTGTGGTGTACGTCTTCCAAGTATGGAGGACTCTGACTTGAACTTTCCAAGATGTCTTGAAGGGCTTCACATCTCTAAGGAAGGCGAAGGAGGCAGCCATCTCTTTGATTAAATGGTGGGCGATCAAAATTGTGTTGGTGGAATGTGTGGTGAATAAAGCTGTGGAAGAAATATCGATATTTATAGGAACATCTATATTAACATTTTTGAAGTACCTTTTGTGTTCTACCCTTTTATTTTATAATATTTTCATAATTAAACCCTTGCTATTTGATTAAATATTAAAAATTTAAGATAAATTTTGTAATTAAATCATAATAAAATTGCAAAATTAGAAATCACTATTTATTACATTTAACAAAATTTCCTAAAATCTCTCCCTAATAAATCAGATATTTCTCCAACATCTTTATATGATTTTATTTGCTTTTAAATTTATATTATTACATAAAACATATGCATAATAAAAATATAAAATTTTCTTTGTATATGTTGCAATTTAAATTTTTTTAAACGGATGTATATTACTCAGACGATACAAAAAATGGATGTTCTAAAGTATTATTGATAATTGTGTATCACGGGTCATGTGATGGAGCGGGTTATAATTTACATAATTATGATTATATATATTTTTACGGGTTGTCTACTATATTATAACTCACAAAAATTTTAATTATGAAATTATACTATGTAAAGGAAAAATATTATGTCAATATCATTTCATTATTTTAATATTAGACTTATTTTAATTAATTTGATCAAATTACGATTATATATTAAAAAATTATCATATAATATTCTACGGGTTAAATCATATAATTAACAATCAAAATATAGTAGTACACGCTTATATACCAAACAAAATTACTAAAAAATACATTTTAGAATATCGTCCCGCGGTGTACCGCGGGTCAAAATCTAGTATATTTTTACAATCCAATTCTTTGTAATATTATATGCTTTTTAGAAAATAATTTAAAGGGTAAAGTAAACATTTAGGATGACAGATTTAGAAATTTTAGAAAAACGAAAGTCAAAGCAGAAGAAATAATAAAAATGAAGGACAACAAAATAATAGTTACGTGATAAGGGACCAAGAGTATAAAAAGGAGCTGTACTTTTAAAATATCATGTTGGATGGAGCATTAAAAAGGTAAATAACTCAAATTTTGAACTATCAAAACAGTACATATGTGGCCTTGTTAAATTATAAAATAATGTGGCCTAAAGCTGTTGCTTCATTTGCTTTGCCATAGGTCGGCCGTGTATATGACGTCATGTATCTAACACCATAAACATATAATTCTGCTACATAGGCCAATTTTGCCGGTGTTGACTCCGGCGTAGACCAATTGTTGACCCAAAAAATATTCCAAATTTTTTTTTTTTATATATTTTCTTTTATATACTATAAAAAAACTAAAAACAATAAATTTTTATATTGAGCTGTTTATGGGTTTTCTATGATTAAAAAATATATTCTATATTCAATATCTAAATATTCATTTTGTATATATTTTTAATGTATTCACTCTTATAATAATTAATTGATTTTAAATTTTAGAGCTAAACTAATAGTCAAATAATTAAAGATATGAAAATTTAAATTGAAACTGAAAAATCCTATCATAATGAATTAGTAAGGAAATTGTTTATTTTCACATTTTCAATTAAAAACATTAACTTTTTAACTAAAAAAAGGGGGAATTTCAAAAATACTCTTTTTCCAACACCACTCATTAAAAATACCCCTCTTTTTCATTTTATCAAAAAGTCACTATAAAATTTGAAATTTATCAAAAACATATGAGTAAGCTTATATTTATAGACACAATTTATCTTTATATGCGTTTAAATTTATATATATATATTTCATAAATACCGTATAAATACCTTTTTAAAACCTTTTAAAAATCATGTAAAAACCTTATTATAACTGTGTAACCCTTATAAAAACCTTATAAAAACCTTATAAATGCCGTTTATAACCTTATAAATATTTGGATTTGGTCTCACAGTAGTAATGATGATCTTGATGTATCTTTTCAACCATAAAAAAGTTTACAATTTTTCATATTTGAAAAGGGGTACAACAAAAGGGGTATTTCTCAAAAATTCTCAGAAAAAAAATTTGGTCAAATAACCGTCCAAAATTTGAAGGGTCAATAATGTTATGCCCTTTTGTTGAGACTAATCCGGCTCAAGACAATAAGGGATTATGTGAACAAAATCATGAATGTCCCTAGATTTCAGTTATTTCCCTGTCAAGAAAGTTTCTTTTATATTTCAGGTATTTCTTAAAAATTCTCAAAAAAACATTTGGTCAAATAACCGTCCAAAATTTGAAGGATCAATAATGTTATTTCCTTTTGTTGAGACTAATCCGGCTCAAGAAAATAAGGGATTATGTGAAAAAAATCATGAATGTCCCTAGATTTCAGTTATTTCCCTGTCAAGAAAGTTTCTTTTATATGTCCACTAGGTAATGTCCCGCGCATGTGCATATTGTTGTATATTTAGTTAATTAGTTTAAATTAATTTAAATAATTATAAAAATAGAATAAATAAATTTTCATATCAATCATATTTTAAAACTTTATTTATGTAAATCATATAATAGAAGCATACATCCATATCTCTTGAATTTATTCGTTGTTTTATTTTCAATTTTTATAGTAATTTTCTCTAGTATTTTTGAGCATTTTTAGGTAAAATAATAATATTGCTACTGCTAAAAATAGAAATTAACTATATTATTCAAATGTTTTATTTAAGGTTTTCATATAAACTCACACATAGCCTAAATTATTTAGTAATTAAATCTAAACTATGTTGAAAGTAACAAATTATATATATTTCCTATAAAATCATATGAAGTGCAATCAAAAGTTTTTTAAAAAATTCCCACAGAATAATTTTATTTTTTAATCTCTTTTTATATTCCTCTTAATTTAAGTTGTATCTCTAGGTTTAATTATATTTTTTTCATCCTTGTAGTATATTAGATAGAAAAAACAAATTTGTTTTTAGATAGAAAATCAAGTATAAAATTCAAATTAAAAAATTATAATGTTATTTATATTATATTTAGTTTGGGATTCAAAATTTAATAATATAATTGATCATTCTAATTTTTTACTTTGAATTTATACTTGATTTTCTATCTAAAATACAATTAATTCAACATCATAGTTTAATATGTACAAATTTATTTAGTTTTATTGTAACATTAAAAATTAAAAAAAAATCATCTACATAGATTCCATAATATTTACAATTTTATCGTTTTTTATAATAATTTTGCAAAATATAAGAAATTTTAAATCTTTTAAGATAATTTATTAAATAGCATAAAAATAGTAAGAATTTTTTTTAATTGATATATGAATTAAAAAAAATTATTGTATGATATAACTGTATTTTCGTTTTTTTAATTAAAACAATAAGTAACTTCAACTTGCCACATCTTAACTCATGGAGTTTCCAAGATGTTGAATTACGTTCTGACTTAACAATTTTACAAAGGAGATGATAACTCAAACATATAAGTCAAACATAACTCATCAAAACTCTAACTCTAACTCTAAAATTTTAAAAACAAAACATGATTTGTAACATTTTTGAGTTATAAGCATAATTCAATCTTAATTCATAGTAACTTAAGTTACCAATCAAAGTCTTAATATCAAGGAAAATTTCATGTGTTAGATTTGAGTTATCAATTTTTTTCTCCAACGATGCTTTTAATTTTGAAAAAATTATTTTTGTTATCAATTTTAGTAATAATCGTAACAACTTTGTTAATACAAGTATTGATTAAATATGTACTGATATGATGATCATCGTTACTGGTTTTAAGATATAATTGATGTGATGCATATACTGTGTTTGATATTCATTCTCAGTTTATTATAATAATATATATTTTTAAATAATATTGAGAAATGGACTATATAAGGTTCAAATTCAGTTCAAAAATTTAGGCAATAAAATCTATAAAAAAAACACAAACTACCACTTAAATTTTAAACATTATTGATTTCCGAAAACTGGTTTATAATCCCTCTGCTGTATTTTTTCAGCGTTTCTCACCATTATGGTGCAAAGAATTCAGTGCGCAAGAAACATCTTTTGGCATCATGCTGGTTGATTATCCTTACATTCGTCACACTCTCTCTCATCATCATCTGGTTGATTAGGAACCTGATATCTTCCAGCATAATACACTATTAAACATGGTATAGAAGAAACTTGGATAGAACAATTCAATAAAGTTATAAAATTTTGAGTTATATATAACACATATCTTCAATATCACAAAACTTGGATAGAAGAATTCAATCGAATAATATTGGTTAAACATGGTATATATTTTTCTTAGTTGAAGAGTGGAGTTCGAATATCAACAGGTGGCAAGTGAGCGGAACAAATGGGACATTGAGGAGTGCGTAACAAGCAACAAGATATACAATTTCCGTGAAAGATGTGATTGCATTCTGTTTTATGAACAATCTCACCTTCCTTCTGATAACCTTTTCACAGAGAATACACAAGTCCAAACTTTGGTAGCAATCTATGATCTTCGTTGTTGGTGGAGCAATTGGTACGAATCTGTTCTTGCATCTTTAACACCTAGAACAAATTTTTTACTCTCAATATGTTCAAAATCACCAATCCAACCCACAGAGCACAATGAAGAAGTATCCATCCTTATTGCTCACCAAAGCCAGCAAACCCTTCAGAGAGACGACATCGCATACAATCGACCACCCAAATCGGCCAGATCTAACCTTAGATTTGACGCCATCCTCAAGCATCTTCACTGAGACATCACCAACATCTAAACAAACACTAAACTGTGATCCACGCGCGGAAAAATACACTGAAAACCACCACCAAGAGAGTCCAAACAATAAGCAAGGGACAGCTTCGCCAAGGGGGAGACGTCGAGGAAGCTAGGGATCGTACAAGAAGAAAGGTAAAGCGGAAAGCCCTCTCCGGTGCCAGAACGACAAGAGGCAACAAGATCTAACGATTGTTTGGAGAGAAAATCAACAAGAACTAACGATTGACTGCCTGCTGAATCGATTTTTAAAC